CACGACTTCCCATAGTCCCCGATTCGCAGAAGCTCCTCTAATCTCCTTAAGTATTCGTTGCCAACAGTTGAGTATTCCGTGATCCTAAGAGAATCGGGCTGCGATTATAGCTGCATGATTTTTTGCTAAACTTCTAATCAACTTTAATAATCTTGCATCAGGGTACTTAAAGCGCTATTTGTGAGTCCAGAGAATACTCAATTTATACCGGTCGTGAAGATACAATAAACGCTAAAAGACTAGTACCATCTACAGTTCGATATGAGCTCACCTCTCAAGAGAGTACTCGGAAGATTCAGAGCCGCATTCGGCGTTGTTGCCAGCAGATGTCTCCTGGTCACTGAACCGAGTGTCACCAATATTCAGATTAAGAGGAGCTAAAAAGGTTGTTAGATCTGTAAAAAAAAATGAGGCATAAGAAATGCAAGATGTGATAGCACCTTTTTTTCGCAACTAGGTCGTGTTGTCAGGGCGACCTTACATGAATGCACTTTGTCTGAAGTTCTCTGTTATACTAGCAATGGTAATTTCCTGTGCCGGACCGCAGACTTGGTACATCCTCAGGATTTGTTCATCCAGGTCGCCCTGACGACACGGGTAAGTTGAAAAGCGAGATAAAACCACTCATATACAGTGAAAGATAACTGCAACCAAAACAGATATCACAAAATCTTTGTTTTGATATCAACGATTTTAAAAAATGCTAGCCCATTGAATGGGGTTGCAGTAAGGTTAGACGGTTGCTACCTTAACTCAGCGCAATTGAGAGTAGTTAAAGGGCACTTTTTAGGAAAACGTCAGGATCTACAACGGCGAGAAATCGGCAGAAGGCACAATTTGACAAATTTCTAAGACCATGTGTTGCTGATGACCCACAAATGAGGTCGAACTTTCGCCCAAGTCCAAGTGAAAAGCCCAACGTAGATAGAATGAATAAAAAATTAATTACTGAGGTCGGGCTTTTGTGTCAAATCATCCCCACAACTTAAGCTATCGGTTAATTTAAAATAAAATGGCAAATACAGGTTTAAACCTAAAATGTCCCAAAATGTTCTAAAAATTTATAAGAGATTTTCACATCACAAAAACCCCATATTGTTGGGGAGACTTCTAGTTCATATGAACATGAATGAAGAAGAGATTCGAAAGTCGATCTCACTAAAAGATAAAGAATGATTCCCGTTGTACCGCAGCCATTTGGCTCTAATACAACGTTCAGGTTGGCGCGGTCCACGAGGCATCTACCCTCGGTTCGAATGAAAACAAGCTGAGCTTCCTGACATCATATGATGGACAGTATCCAAGCCTGAACTCATCCTTGTGAATCTCACGTAACACTAGGTCTGGAAGAATGTCCGGCTTTATCTAACTTGTTAATGTACTAAGCTATAAATGAAAAAATATATATGCAGCAAGATAGGTAAATATATCTTAATTTTTGCTTTTTGTCACGAGTAACTATAGCTTATATTATAAATCCGAATAGTCTTCTTGACCTAGTATCAATGTAAGGCTTTTACAAGAATGAGTTCCAGCTCTAATGATGTGCATCATATGATGGGCGAAAAATCAGCCCGTTTTCTCGTAGACAGCGCCAACTTGAACGTCGTATTAAAGCTAAAACTACTGCAGTACAACGGAAACCAGCCATAGTCTTCGGGTTAGATCGACCTTCGAATGGCCTTTTCATGCACTTTTTTGCGAAATGAAAGTCTCCCTAGCAAGGTTATCTTAAGAAATTTATCGAAGCCCAGTTGCCACAAAAATTTTAAAACATTGCTTCAATGTCAAAAGGAAGGTCTTTCGATGATTCATGAATTTGTTATTACTGGCCTTCAAGGTCATTGTGAAGGCTGTCAAATTTAAGATAGCTCTGGTTAAACTGGTATTGTAATGGCTCAAAGTGGAGATGGGAAAGATTACGTTTGCCATTGAAGTTCATTGGGCTGCATGTTTCCACGCGATGGACTTTATTTTGCTCCTATCTCGGGCATTATCAGAGCCTGCAAAGAAAATTGCGTTTAGGGTTGGTGATTTCATATACGCCATGAGGCCACAAGGCAGTCCTTCTCAAGTCGCCTAGGTGACAGGAATATTGGAATAATATGGAGACACTCTCGTCCTTGAGCCCAAAACCATTATTAGGCAATAGTGTCGAGCTTCTGCCAAAACTGTTCGTTAGCCTATTTTGTAAATGAGGGTTTACTCTTATTTTACTGATCTTTCAGGAATCCAAAACTTGTAACGTCTTTAACTGTTATCTGTTTTCCAACCGAAATTAAAGAAAGAAGAGGCAATTTAGTGTATCGTGTATTATGAGGGAAAATCAAGTAATTCTCTAAATAAGTAGTTTTCTATACTAAACGTAATTGTTGAATAAGCACTTAGTTGTCTGGGATGTGCTCATCCTATTTCGTTTAAGATAATGAAGGACTGGTAGTTGAATTTTCCCACAATGATATGAGTAGACCTTATATTTCCATTGAATTTAATATAGCTTTCCTCCCCTAAAGGTATTCTTCCTCAGGAATGACTGAGATTTCGACCTCGCCCAGGTCTCATCAGCATCCAATGCAAGACTCGAACCATCTCAACACATTAGACACTAAGCCATACTGCCACGAGCGTCTTTGAGTCGCAGGACAGATGCTAATTTCAAGGAGGGCCAGGCATTTTCCTATATCACATTCTGTGATAGGAGTGTCGATGAAGCAAAGTTATGTGTGTTATAACAATCGACGACGTCAAGTATTTTTTTTTTGTAATTAGGCTTTCGAAATCTGTGACTCAACGACATTAGCAGCAATGTGGTGTAGTCGTTAATTGGTCGAAATTATACGCTGTATTGTCATGGTTCCGAGAAGGGTGCTGATGAGACCTAGGCGAGATGGAAACTACAGTCCAACTTGAATGAGACTATCCTTTAGGAAACAAGGGTATGCAAGAGTAAATGGAAACATAAGGTGGGAAAATTCAACTATCCGTCCTTAATCAGCTGAGACGAAATAGAGTAAACACATCTCATATGACTGATTTACTGGTAGTCTCTAAAACCTACTAACAAGTACATCGGTAATATATGTCACTTAAGGTGATTTAAGGATTGATAATTGAGTTTTCCTACAGTCAGATAAGTAGGCCACATAATACTGGTAAATTTCATCTACTCTCGCCTACTAAAAGGCTTTTTTGGTGAAAATTTCATCAATCACATCTTTAACTGTAAAGATGTCCTCAAAAATGTGGATTTATCTCCAATATTAGCTTGCTTCCCCGCCAATAAAGAGGAGGCTCTATCAAGACAGTATGTATGCCCTTGATGGGGATACCTTTTGAGGGACTTTTGAGAAAGCCCAGTTGGATGAGCACTGAAATGAGTTGACTTTCACTCTTCGATGTCCATTCGTGACCCGAGGCCATTCGGTCTCCGGAATGTGGCTCCTCCGTGACGACGAGCACCGGCTCTCCGGCCTCCTCGACTGCCGGGGTAGATTTCGGGCTTGCTGTCGCCGGTACCACAGTCGACGGCGAAGCCGCTGATGTAGTGCGGCGTGGGTAGATACCATGACTTCGTGCTGTGCGTGCGGTCCGGTGTCCAGGACGACCCGAGGCCAACTGAGCCCCAGTAGCATTGATGGCCATTGGCGTGGCACCCTCAGGCACGGCGGAACCGGGACCCGGTCTACGAAGGCCCGAGGACTTGGAGGGTCTTGGCGATCTCACCGAGCGATGGGGGGCAGACGAGCCCGGACGGCTGGCTGCGAGAAGACTCAAGCGGTTGCCAGACGCCGCGGCCGCTGCCGTTTCGGAGGGAGCCAATTCGGCCCAGTTCGGTTTGCAGGTCATCCGGGGCACCAGCTCGGCCCAGTAGACGTCGGCCGAGGGCACCAAAGTGAACAACACACATTGGTCCTTGGTCAGTTGGCGAAGTTCGGTCAGCTCAATCAGATCCTAGGACGAGGTTTGGGTTAACACCTGATATTATCCCTCTGAGATTTGATAGGACGTCATTTGAAATAAAATAAAGTTATCTGCTGAACTGGAGATTATGCATTAATTTTCCCACAGGTCCAAGGACGCTGACAAGCAGGCAGTCAGCCTCCTTTCTCGGGCAAGCGAAAAACAAGGACACATACACAACATTCAGCATAAGGCATTATCATCAGATCCCTCATGCGGCCGAGGTTCCAAATGTTTCAAGTCAAGTGTCAGGGAAGGGTATTGTGCAAATCGTGGAAGTAAAAGACATCTTGCCAGGGCCAAGAGACGAAATTGGACGGGCCTCAGATCCGTCCAAAAATACGATGGGGTGGATTCAACTCTCTCAGCATCCATCCTGTAGGGCATCTGGCCGCTTCTGCTCAAAATAATAGAATTCCAAAAGGATCTGTGGATGCCTTATTATGTTAAGCCTGTAACTGGTCATCATAATGTGGCTCTCGAACATTACATACTCTAATAGCATTCCTTCATTCAAGTTACGAAAAGGAATCATCTGAAGCAGTCCCATTTGATGCTTACACTCCTGTCGCCTATTCGATGACCTCGCCAATTTGTCAAAGTGAGGGTCAGTCTGTATGTGCTCGGAACGGTGGCGAGTATCCTGCCGCGTTGTCCTAGAGAGGCAATAAAATCATTGTAGCAACGATTTGCACACTCGTGAACATGTCTGTGTCCAGACTGCCGCCATGAATTCTACAAAACGACATGTTCACCCTCGTCCCTCTTGCCTCGAAGACCTTCTCTCAATAACTCAATCCCGGTTGCCAAGACAATTTGCTTAAGTCCGGAAAATTCTTCTTTTGGGAATCGAATAGGTATCTGTGTGAAATATTCTACCCTGAGTAATTCAAAGAACTTTTATTTATGACCCTCAATGTGAGCAATATTTGGATCCTTTGTGGATTTTGGGGCATAGAGTTGAGCATAGAACCTGATGCTCTCACGCATTGTCTTGACTGTCGAATGTGTGACCAGAAGAACAGTCGGATGAGGAGGTAGTCAATTTAGGAAAATGCCCAAGTCATCTGTTAGGAATAGGTGCGTTTCGGATTCATCTGGAG